ATGGTAAGTTTAGGGGCCCTGGAAGAGGGCAGTGGGGTGCAGATCAGTCTGAAAACTGACAGAGCCAGTGTGAAAGCAAGCCTGGGTCTGGCCTTAAGTCCCAGGCAGAAGCATGGCCAAGGGAGCATCAAGCCCAGGAGCCTATCCCAGGGCCAGGTGGGAGCCCTGGGGACAATGGGGCATCCAGAGTGTCTGTGGTGATTCACAGGACCTGTGGTGAGCGTGCCCCTGATTCTCTGCCTGGCTGAATCAGGTGAGCACCTCAGTGCTGATACACTGATTCCTGTCAGCCAGATGTGGCTGAAGGGCCACAGGTAAGAAGTTTATGAGGGGAAACCACATGGGATGAACCAGGAGAGCCTTTGTGCCAGCTGGATGGTGATGCATGAAGTTTTGCTGTAGCAGGAAAATCCTCAGAGACACGTGCTGCAGGGCTACCCCTGCCCGGTGTCCTTATCCAAAACCTGACATTGAGCCTGGCATGTGTGTGTATGTCTTTTGCTATGTGCATCCCAAGCTTCCCTGACTCTTGGGATGCTATGCTCAGCTGTACTGAGCTGCTTTGTCACGCTTTTAAACTCTCTTCCACCCTCATGCTCTGCAGACAAAAATATCCCTCTGCCTCCTTCAGGAGGTATTTCAAGAGGAGAGATGAAAATTTAGTTAACAAATCTTTCACTCCACAAGTGCCAATTATGTGGGGGTTTTTCTCAGATGGTCTAAATGATGAATATAGCAAGCTAAATTCAGAGTAACCATTTTCAACCTGTGTTTAGCACTAAAGTGGGCTGCTTCTATTTTCAGGCCAAAGAAGAATTTTTGTGCCTGAAATCCCATCCAAGTTCTTGTAAGTATATCAGTCAATCTAATAAAAGAGATTACCTCTTCCTACGGACCTTGCCTCACTTACATTCTTCAGGCACTGCGACTACAACAGCGGTGCTTGCTCATCTTTGCTGTTGCTTCTCTGCCACCTGCAGCGAGCAGCTTGAATGTACATGACAGAAGATGAGAGGAAGCACATCAAGGTATTTCCTGACTTTTACAGCATTTCATTTGCAAGCTTACAGACCTTCCTGGAAACACAGTAAAAGTCAAGTTGGAAAGGAGCCGGGAGCTCGCCCAGTCCAACCCAATTCCATGTTAGACTAATAGTTTTGATTAGATGCTCGGCATCATATCTAGTGAAGTTGCCAACACTTCCAAGCATGGAGCTTTCAAAACCTCTCTGTGTGTGTTACTTCAGTAATCCTTCAGAAATCTTTCTATGCAGATTTTTTTCCTCACATACACATACCAGTCCTGCCTCTCATTAGATCATTGGGTCACTCACAGACCACTTCAGTGCTCTAATTTCTGCACGATGCAAAAAAGCTCCTCCTGGGGTGGCCTGTGCTTCAGCCTCTCAGCAGTTTTAGTGTTCCTTTGCTGGACTTTCTCCTGTTTGTCATTGTCTTGCTTGCTCTACAGACTGGTCACCCTGTTCCAGGCATGACCTAGCCATGTAAAGCATAGGGGAATAAGAGTTTTCCTCTGTCTGCTGGCTATGCCCTTGCTCGTGTGGCCTAGTATGTGATTAGCTGCCTTCATTGAAAGGCACATGGCTGGCTCTTGTGAAATTTGCCAGAAAGAATCTCCTAAGTACCCTTCTGCAAAGCTGTTACACACTCAGCTCATCCCTAGCATGTACAGCTGTATGGGGTTAGAGCATCCCAGGTGTAGACGTTACAATTCTTCTTTTTGGTCCTCAAGAGATTCCTACTGGCCAATTCCTCCAGCCTGTCAAGGTCTATCTACTTTTTGTTAAGCATTTAGTTTCCTGTCTAGTTGTGCTTGTCCCCATGAGATGCAGACGTGTTCAAAGACATAGTTCCCCTTTAGAGCAGTGTTTATTTGTATTCTAGACGGTAGAGGCAGGGTGGGATAGCTTTGTAGAAGCAGGCTATTCTTAATTGCACTGGAGATGGTCTTGGAAGGGGAAGGACCTGTGCTGCCCAGTGCCTTTGGAAGCTTTTGCTTGACAGGATGCAGACATACGCCCCAGCAGGAGCTACAGGCCCTCAGGTGCTCATCCTTGCTATCTGCTCTTTGAGAGACTCACTAAGGAGAAATAAACAGAAAAATCCTGCTCTTGAACTGTTCAAGAAAGCCATTTCATTTTTGCTTCACCCCTTCCCCTTACCTTGTACTTTACCTCATCTCTTATCCACTTAGATCTTAAAACTTCAGTTTAAAAAAGGACTGAATTAAAGGCTGATTTTGTGTAGAAGTTTTCAGACTACTGTGTTCTGCCCAGAGAGGAAATGAGGGGACAGCATCTGAGTATGAATTTATCCCAACCCAGCTTGAGATTTCCCTTCAGGACCCAGGTGTATTCTCAATGGGAAAAATACAATTAGTGTTCTATGAAACACGTGTTCTTCTCTGCTGAATACCTAGCCACCCTAATGTTACATTTCTAGAATAACAGTAATCTCCACAAGAGGGTTTTATGTCAGTTTGAAGACAGAAAAGAGGAGAAAATATGATCAGTTAGGGAGATTCTCCTCAGTTGCAGCAGTTGCTGCTTATCCTTTATTCAATAGGAGGCAATATGCTTTTTCTCTTGGATGTTTTTATGAGAAAAATCACAGCCTTCTTAGAATGTTCATTTCCATCCCTCCAGCACAAGTCAGTCATAGCAACAATTAAAAAATTCTGGAATTAAAAGTGACATTTTAGAAAGAAAGAGGTAAAAATTGGGTGCCAAGGAAGGAAAATTACTTTCCCCCTCTTCTTTGTGTCATATTGTTGATGAAAGAATAATATAGTTCTACTCTATTAGATAACAGTTTATAAAATTTACCTTGTCTTTCAGTTTCACACTCATTTTTCCCAGGTGGCAAAAGCAGTTAGGGTCTGCTCTGGGTCACCTCTGGCTGCTCACCTGAAAACTGGGAAAAACAAGACACGGTCTGTAACCTTGGAGATAGTTTTTTTTAAAATTCTTGAACTCCTAAAATCCTTCCATCCATGCTACAAGCGTATTTTCTGCTTTATTCCTTCTTGTAGTCTCTTCTTCAGGCTAAATTGAATCCTTGCACCCACGTATATTTTCTTCTCAGCTGTGGTTTCAACTTAATCTCTTCTGGAACCCTCCAGTTGTTTTAAATGTTTCCTGAAGCATGGTGACTGAAACTGAACATAACATTTGGCCAAAGCCTCTTCTGTGTTGGGAACACTGACAAAAGTATTCCCACTTGCTGTGTGTTGAACACTCATTGCTCTGTATACCCCAAAATGACATTTGTCTTTCTCACCACACTGACACTGTTGATTTGTGCTGACCAACTCATCCACCATGTTCCCGAGTTTCTACTGAGCCAGCTGCTGCTGGCCACTGGGAAGCTGCTTATTTCTGCAGATATTGAAGTTCATCCAGCTGTTCTGCGAATTTTCCAGTTTATCAAGAGCATTTTCAGTTCCAGTCCTGTCTCTAAGACTATCTGCATCCCCTCTCCATTTCATGTCATCTGCAAATTTAAGAAGCATACGGTGTATTTCATCATCCACAGTAAAACAAAAATGCTGGGAAAATTAGATACAGATTCAGGATAAATCTCCATATAGAATTGCTTGTTACTTCTTCCATTTGGACAGGGAGTCTTTATAAGTACTCTTTGAATATAGTTGTACGGAGTTCCTGAGGTTTTTATTTCGCACCCATGAGAGCCTGTTGATCCAGATAATTTTCTTTCCTTTTTTGTTTTGCTTACCTAAAACAGTAGTTCAAAAGACAATATGAAAAGCCTAAGTAAAGTTAAAACATGCAATAGCAACTGCTTCTCCTGCACTAATGCTCTTGAACCATCATATTGATTGTTATTCAGCTCTTTGTTAGCTCCTCGTTTGGCATGTGGAGGCCTAGAACAAGTTTACCTTTTCCCAGCTCTTTTTTTTTTTCTTGGCAGTTGAGGGTAAAGTTGATGAGCTTTTCTACTCATTTCCTTTCTCCCTTCCTTACTTCTTTTAAACACAGACCACAAACTTACATCTTTCTCACAGTTGGTAACTCAACAGTCCACAGCTATCCTCAAAAGTAACTGCTAATCTGTTTGAGACTATTTCAGACAGTTTTTCACACATGGTGGACAGATGTTCATCAGGTTTAGCCAAATTAGCAACACTTTGAGTGCTACCTAATCTCATTCAGGCTAAGGTCATTCAGGCTATTAGGTTTTCTAACATTTATTTGGCCTTCTCTCGCTGATGCTGCCTGTCACCTTTCCAGTGCAGAGTGAGGAAGAAGGAATGATTTGGTGTACCATTGAAAGAGATTAGCCTTAGGCCCAATGTAAATGAACTGGCAGGAAAAGCTTCACTCATAAGCCGCAAAATTCATGGGGAGATGTAGGGGAAAAAAAAACAGAGACTGTGTTGTTAAGGAATGTGGGCAGAGGCTGAGCTTCACAGGAACCCACAGGTGCCTCCAGGTTTGTCTGACTATTTGTATACTGCTGTGGACAAGAATCATAGAATCATTAAGGCTGGAAAAGAACTTTAGGACTGTCAAGTCAAACCATAACCTTGCACCACTCTTCTCACCACTAAAATGATATCTCCAAGTGCCATATCCACACATCTTTTGAATGATTTCAGGGATGGTGATTCAAGCATTTCTCCAGGTGTCCTATTCCAATGACTGGCCACCCTTTCAGTGAAGAAACTTTTTCTAATATCCAAGCTAAACATTCCCTGGTATAAGGGCCATTTCCTCTCATCCTTTCACTTGTTATCTGGAAGAGGAGCTTGACCTTCACCTTGGTACAATCTCCTTTCAGGCAGCTGTTAGAGATCAATAGGGTGCCCTTTCAGTCTCCCCTTCTCCAGGCAGAACAATCCCAGTTCTCTCAGCTCCTCCTCATCAGACCAGTGCTCCAGATCCTTCACAAGGTTCCATTGCCCTCTCTGGACATGCTCCAGCACCTCAATGTGTTACCTGTTACTCTCAATGTGTGGAGATGGGACTGGAACTGAACACAGGACTTGAGGTGCAGCCTCACCAGTGCCAAGTACAGCAGGACTGCCCTGGTGCTGCTGGCCACACTGTTCTTGGTACAAGATGCCATTTGCCTTCTTGGTCACCTGGGTGCACGTTGGCTCATGTCCTGCTGTCAAGCAGAGAAGGTAGGAGAAAGCAGCATATTTTTGTAGACCATATCTGTGTAAAATACTCTGTTCCAAAAGTAGAATTGTTTTGTTGTGTGTTGAAGGATTTTGTCATCTAAACTTTTCCCTTTTTAAGGTATATTTTATCTTTCCTCTTTCTTTTAAGTGTGTGCTGCAACAATCCATTTCACCATGGAAAGAAACTGTCAGGCAGGGAGCCTGGCTCATCACTTAGACAGTGTGGAAATGGCTTGCAGTACAAATCTTAAACTTTACGCCTCTGGACACTTACATCATAAGAAGTTTTATATGCCTACAGAGAAAATAAAGCAGGGATGATGGTACTCTGCCAGGAAACAAACTTGTTCCATAATAGAAAGAAATCAATTCCCAGCTGAAAATGAGAAAGCAAGGAAGATTGAAAGATTTTCAGGTAAATTTTCATCCAGCATCCCTCTACTTCCAGAAAAACCTGATTTTTTTTGCTCTAACAACAGACATCTACAGTCATCTGTGACTTGTGTTAGATTTTTCTATTCCACTGGAGATGCTAAAATTGAAAGAACTTAAAAGGAAAGATGAGGGAACTGACAGATTCCATGAGAATCATCAAAAGAGATGAGTTAGATGTGTCAGAGGTTATGGTTATAGAACTTGTCAAAGAGGAGAACCAGTTCATGCCTTCACACATGGCTGGTGTAGCTAAAACTGAACAGTTTTACAAGTTCTTGCATTTTCAGGAGGAGTTCATAGCAAACCGTGAACTATTACCAAATGATTTAATGGCAAAATAGTAGAGCAGCTTGAAAGCAAGCTGGCTAAAGTAAGAAAAAGAGTCTCCAAGTGGATGGAAAGGTAAATTTTGGAAAGGAAATTATCTTTCTGGGTGGATTTGTTGTGCGTTCCAGGAAAATGAAAGAGGTATAAGCAAAATCACCTCTCTCTTCTTTTCAAAGACCCAATCCCTTGTATCTGCTCAGCTGAGAATTTGTAAGATACATCTACTATGTGTTATAAAACTCAGAGCCCAGATTTGTTATGCCACTGTTTACCCTTCCACTGTCACATGGAAATGTTGTGTTAAATATACAGAAAAGCAGGATCTTGCAAGCTAGTGCTCTGTAGGAAAAAATTCACTGCTGGTCAGCATCTCTATAGGAGCTGTATGTTCAGTGTCCAGTGTCCAGCAGCACATTTGAAGTAATTTGTAGAAGAAGCTGCCTTCTCTATGTGTGCTACAGACTCTTTACACACAGGTACATATGTCTGGCTGGCCCCTTGTGATGGGTAGGATGGGGAATGAATTTAATCACTGAAGCACATACATTTTGCAGTCAGAGTTAGATACTGGATTCATAGAAATTAGGGATGGAACTTAATGAAACCAGTTGGGTTTCTAAGAAATTTGGGTCAACTAAGAAATGACTAGGCCAGTGTGGCCTGGACAAAAATGGACATTTCATATTGATAAATGTTTGAAAGAATTTGGCACTTTGTCCCTCACTATGGTATTAATAGCCAGGTTTTCATCTTTTGTGAGATGCCAGCTTATTTAAGAAGGGCGTTTTACAGAGAATTTAGCAGTGTGTGTTTGCTAACAGAGAAGACGGAGATTGAGCTTGACTGGAGCAGCCATCCCAGTAGAAGCCCAAGTACACCAGAAACTGCAAATGATCAAGCAAATAAGCAGAGATTGTTAATCTTGTATATCTCCAACATACTTCCATTGGATTTTAGGAAGTATCTGTATATTTAGGAAGCATTAACACAGTTAATGAACTTGCCACAAAAGTTGGCTACTTCCCATCTCAGTCAATAACCTCAAGCAACCTTTCTCCTCTGCCTCTGAGCTGAGAGGCCAGAGTAAAAGGAAGAAGAACTAGGGGAGAACAGAAGAGGCAAAGTACAGTATTATATCAGGATAACAACTTGATCTTGTAATTTTTGAAGCATTTTTTCCCAGGAAACCTTTTCCCCAGGAGCAGTTTTAATCAGTACAACTTTTGTGAGACAGAGCAACTCTGTTACAAAGCTTAACAGAAAGCTGTACTAACTAGCAGTGATGCCAATTTTTGTCCTTTGATTAAATGGTTGAGCTTTCTACCAGCTTTAGTTTTAAACAAGTATATTCACAAAGTAAAAAACTGCCATAGTATATTATCTACCTTAAAAAAAGGCTTGTTGTGAAAAATTTAATCTTAGGCACAGAGCACTTTGAAGTGAGGCCAGCAGGACTCTTGAGAAAATGTTCCCATGGCAGAGGAACCCAGCACAGGTTGCCTAAGAGACCCCCTTCTTTCTCTTGCCTGGATTTATTACTCAGACATGACAGTGTATAACTATGAGATTCTAAGTGTATTGTTTTAATTTAATTAATTTAATTTATTGTTGTATTCTTTAGCTAGGGGCTCTTGGGTTATCTCTAGGTTAATTATGTCTTTCTGAGCTAACTGTAACATTTAAAAAATGCAATGTGTTCCAAGGTCAGCGTCTTGTCTTGCCACTTGCTCACACTTTAAAATCAAATGTACTTAACAAACTTCATGGACTTACAGTATAATATTTTTTTTAAAATTTAATCACTTTTGGTCTCAAAGGGAACAGCCAGTTTCTTATTTTCTCTCCTTCTCCCATTGTACTCAGGTAAGAAAACAAGAACAGAGAATACAAATGTTAAGAGAGATGCTCGTATCAAAAGTTGATTTCAAATCTCCTCAGTGATTTGAGCTGACATAATTTCATTCTATAAGCTTCAACATGTTAATGGAGAAAGGAGAAATCACAAGGCATAGCACACCTCTGCAAACCATCTGCACAAGCCACAGTATAGCACTGGGGGGAAAAGGTGAACGGCAAATACGTATATTAATTGATTCAGGAGCAGGATACGCTTTCAGTCAGTGCTTTCATTTATTTATTTAAATTAGGGTCACAAGTGTGCATCTCTCTCTCTCTCTCTCTGTGTGGGTATGTGGTGTTTCCTTCAATTTTTCTTGACTGACCAGCAAATTAAACTGTGTGGCTACAAAAGATATTGTCTTTAGTGCATTCCCAGTTCTGTTTCTGGCCCAACTGATGTGACAAGCCCTTGCATGTGTCCCAGTGTTCCTACTGTGACTTTATGCCTTCTAATTAACTGCATAGCAGCAAACCATCACTCTTTCTTCCTGCAGTGTCCCCCAGGTTACAAGAGAGTAGCATCACGTGCCATACTTACATTTTCTCTTGCTGAAATATCTCTGTATGGTCAGGAGAGAAGGGCAGGCAGTGTTTAGGAAAGATGGACAAGTTCTTTCCCAGGTATTCTCTAATTAGGAGTAACACAAACTGACACCAAACATCTGATTATCACTTAAGCACTTTGCTAAAAACATTATTTAAGAAAAAACAAAACCCAACAACCCACAATCAACCTCCCCTTCCCCAAAGAAAAACAACACCTCCTAAACCCCAGCATTTTAATTTTTGAGCCCTAATCATAAATCCCTAAAATGTTTGGGAAAAAAAAATTAAGTCTGTAGCCTACTGGTGAATAATTTTTCTACCTTTCACTTTGATGGTGGCATATGAATGATATTTCTTATCTGACTTACCATGCAGTTTTCTATTTTTTCTCTTTTGATTTATTCAGTATGCTGAATTGTAATACTTGAAATTCTTTATTTGGACAAATTCTGTTTGTTTTTATTCTTGGGCACTTAAGGCAGTGATTTGCATGTCACTAACACGACTGAAATATTGTACCTGAAAATTACACTCCGATTCTGTACTCTATGATTTGATGGTAGTCATGATAAAAATTCTACATTGGTTCTTCCAGTGATAACTGAGGGGGCAAAAAAATCATCTCTCCATACTTTTTGCTGAAATAATTGCACATTAATATCCAACATTCATAGGCAAGAGAACGGAAGAGGAGGACAGTGAAATCACAAAATCCTTGCAGAAGAGGAGCTACTTGGGTAAGTGAACTGTGCTGAGAATGACATTGTAATAGTTGAAATCCAATTGATCATCTCTAAGTTTTTAAAAACGCAAATGCAGCAGAATAAACAAATCTCCTGTCACAGCACAAAAGCTATGATTTTCCTGGATCCAAACTGAAACAGGAGTCTGTAATAAGGACTGTTAAGCATTTTTTAATAGTCTTCTTTCCTCTCAATTCTCAATTTATTTAGAGCATGAGCTCTTCTGGACTCTCATCTTGTAATACATTACAAAGTAGTCTTTATTTGTCAATATTAGCTCATTTCCTTGGTGATGCTACAGAGAAATTAAGTATTTTAAAGTCAGATATGGGCATTCCCTGACCTTATGTTTGACACAAGAGATTTAGTGCTCGCCCTTTGATTTATTGTTGACAACAGTTTCTGTAGGAACAACCCACAGCAGGGAAATCTGAGACAGCAGCTGCTTACAGAATAAGCAGAACATTGTCTGAATAGACTGTGCTGGATTTCTTAAGTGTCAAACCTATTGTCCTTCTGTCTCCTTTTTGCCAGAGCCACATCAGGCTTTTGCCGCTTTTACTGGAGAAATGCTGCTGAACAGAGGGTGGTATTTGCCCTAGGCTTCCAGGAGCAGTACTGCACACCCCTTCCCCTGACTCTCCCTCCAGTGACATCTCAGTTCTGGTGAAAGGAAAATACATTAGGAAACACGTCTTCCACCATGGGTATAGAAGGGAAGCACAGAGGAGATGTAAGATCTGGGAGCAGAGCTGTACTTGACTGGCCCTGCCCAGCCCCCTTGGAACCTCTTCCCTTCATGCTCATGGCACAGGACCCCATCTCACTTCATCCTGGACCTGTCAGTCCCTGCCCATTTTCCTATCTCATCCTTTTTTATTCTTTTTTGTTTTACTGTCCTTACCCCAAAACCAGAGCTGTCTGTTTCTGACACCTTCTTAAGCCCGTGTTCTCCAACAATCCAGAGACAATCCTGTGGATTTGCTCTGAGGATTTCACCCCAGTTATCCACTCTCTTTAGCGATGAGCCTGGGAGTACCTGTGTGATATTGACAATCTGTTGAAATGAAAATGAAAGGTAATGATGAACATGGCACAGCTGACAGTGTGAGAGCTTTCTCTAGGTTGACTAACACACTGCTCAGTGGCATAACACCAGAAAGGATTCTTTAAAAGCAAGGGGTTTACAAGTCTGAGTCTTCATATTTACTGGCTGTGACACATGCAGAAGACTATCCATGTTATTTTTTATTTTTTAAGTAAAAAATCTTTAATATATTTAAAAATGGAGGCATCTTTGCATGGCTGAAACCTGCCACAGAGATTTTTTTTTGTTTGAAACCCACCATAGAGGTATTTTTTTAAATGTTAACCATTAGTCGCATCAACAGTTCATTTGGAAGTTTTCATTAAAACTGAATTTTACTGAAAATTTCATTTAAAAAATGGTTCCAGAACTTGTAGTAACACACCCCCCACTAAAAAAAAAAAACCAAACCAAAAACAAACACAAACAAAACCATTACATTCAATTGCACAACTTTTACTCCACATTTTACTCTTTCTTGTGCATTATCATAGCTCTGAAGGCTCAGGGCAAAGGGATGAAATGCAGTCAGGAATGGTGTACAGGTTCTTATGCAGAAAGCCAGTACTGCTCTGGAAAGAAACAAATATTTCAAATGCTATCAAGCTTTGTAGCAACAAGGAAGATGGGATAGAGCAGAAACAACTAAATAGAGTTATTGAAGTTTTTTAAATGTCAGGTCTTGAAGGAAGACCAAAGGGTCAGACCTAGTGGATGGACGGTTCTGGGCAAAAAAATTTTTCTTTTGTACCAATCATTGTGGGAGACATGGTTAAACTCTGAGCAGGACCAAGGCTTTCTTTTGCCTTTCTCAGCTGATCAGCACCTAAGAGCTGAATGTCACCACAGTGACAATCTTCACACAGACTGCGGCCTGTACTGTTAAATTACAGACTGTGTCACTTGCTGTGGTGTTGATCTTCTTTTGTTTGTTGTTTTGTTTTTGATTGGAGGCAACAAAGCCTAATTAGCCTTCTACTGTGGCCTGTGTTCTTTGGATAGTCCCAGTGCTTTCATGCCACTGCTGTGTGCCCCTGATATTTTACATCATAACTTCCAAATCTCCTTAGCACTGCTCCGAGCTCTGATCCAACTTGCTACTCTCAATATTTGACCTTATGTTTATTTAACTAGAACTCTAACCTTTAGGCTTGGAAGGTGTCCTGGCAGCCTGCCAGCTCTCTTTTTCTTGCCCACTCCACTGTCTGAACCTGAAGAATTACCAATCACACTTCCACTCAGGTGGTGGTTCCATTTTTTTACCCATCTCTTTTTCTTGTAAATGCAACTCTAACAAGACTGGATGACTCTAGAGGTCTTTAATATCTTTGCAATTGTTGTTTCCAGGGTATTTAATTTTACACTATACAATATTTACACTGTTTTTAAAAGGTAATTTGGATGATTCTGCAGTTAAGAAACTGGAGTATGAAAGAGACTCAGGCTCATTAGCTTTCATTAAGGCAAGCAGAAAGATGACTAACAGTGACCCAGTAATCTACGTGTCTATACTTGTCTGCAGAGAGAGAATTCGTGATGTGTTACTGTGGGATAGTCAAACTGGCATGAATTTAAGATGGATCAGGGCATAGTGGGGAATATTTATAGCTCATGCCCATGCAAATTTTATCTAGGCTATTCAGAGATTGATTTTTTGTGCAAGCTTTTATAAATATTTTAGAGATAAAGGGGAAGATACGGCATTTTGTCTTCTGCCAAAGTGGTGAAAGGGAATCATGATAAACACCCCTGAATTATCTAAAGGAGTTCTTGAGAGATTTTTCAGCTGTTGGTATAAAAATCCAATGCCCCATAAGACTGTTCAGTTCTGAAGAGCAGTTTGTTTCCAGAGAAGTCTGGGCACATGTGCTATCCTAATGTCAACTTGCTAGATTTGCATGAAAAGCAAGAATTGAAATTTGAGTTATTTGCATGCATTACTTACTACTGACAGCCTAAGACTGAATTTTTCCTCTTGCCATGGATCATGTGTAGTCTTTTCTATGTGTAGGGAAACCATCCTGGGAGGGAGGGCAAAGGGAAAATTTTTTTTATACAAGATGGATTTTTTTAAAACAAGTAACATTAGTTAGTAGATGTTAAAATATCTGGTAGGCTATTTGAAATCTGATGATGGAGAGAAAATAAGAATATAGATATGTAGGCAGAGAACTAAGCTGTCCTCTTATATTATTATGATATTGAATAATGTGTATCTGATTCACTCTTTCAGTGAACAAGAGGTTCCCTCCTAGGAAAAGAAGCTGCAGTTTTAATAAAGAGGAGAGTGATTGAATCCTGTTAGCTCCTCGCAGACAGTCAATTCTTCTCTCCTTTGCATCACTGAGCATACAAATCTAGAGTCACTTTGCTTTAATTCACTGAACCTCAATTTCTCTCTGCCCTGTTAGAGCAACATTTGAGCTCTGGGCATGTGTAATAATCTCCATAATATGTAACAACTATTTGCTTACATCTATTTTTGTGTATGATCTTGAAAAACATTTATGCAACTGTTCTTCTCTTTTGTTCCAGTCTAAACTGAACAAATAATTAGAAACACTGGAACAGATGAATCAGACTCCAGATAATAAAAAAGATGAGAGAAAGGACAGTTCTGAGTTGAGCAGAAAAGAAATACGGTACAAATTAAGGCAATAAGGTTCTAAAGGATCAGAAGGAAAACCAATCATAAATTGCCTCAGCTGCTGAGATTTTTCCTGTTAATATGATCAAAATGTGCTGATACCTAATGAAATCAGGTATGTAGTATTTCCTATACTTCTTTTACTCCTGGTCTTATCTGAAACCAGTAGGTGTCAGTGAAAGACTGTCTAAAGGGTTAGAGATGTCTCAGGGGATGAAACCCTTGAGCAAGCAGAAACATAATAACTGGATTTCATGCTTATGATGAGGAGGTTAAGCCCTGAATCACGTGCTTTCAAGTGCCATTCCTAAGCTTCTTTTCAGCCTTCACTGTATCAGTCCTGAATGTTGTAGTTATCCATACAACAGTCCAGTCTCTCTTGGAGGTTTGCTCAGTGCTTTGATTCAGTAACAGCACTGAGGTTTACAGTCTTTTTATGTATTGCTCAAGAAAGTAGTGTCTTTTGATAAGTAAGCCTTTTGATCTGTAAGGAATCTGTATTAGGATCTTAGAGTAGGATAGAAAACATAAATCTGGAAAGTTTTAGAAAAGTGAAAAAAAGAAAAAAGCTGATTGCTGAGAAACTAGGAAACCCTGTGAATGTCACCAGGATAAAGTATAACTAGTATAAAGTATAACTAGTATAACATATATATAGATATAGATATATAGATATATAGATATATAGATAAAGTATATGCTATTATATAGTATAACTAGTATAACTGACTGTAGCACACCTGCCTTTTATGACTTTAGTGAAAACCTGCTCTGAAAGCCATTTTCTTCCAGAGCATGAGAACATTCTGATTAGTAAATTATAAAGTGGTAAATAAGGAAATAGCAGTTCATGGGGTGATGTAAAATTCCTTTTGTGGAGAAAAGAAAGATCCAAATCTTCTTAATCTTTCTCCTGTGTAGTGTCAGGAACAGTGCTTGAACAGTCAAACCAGCTGTGGTTGTGGCTTTTTTTTTTCCTTCAGCAGCTAAACTGGCCCAAATTTCTCTCTAGTGTAACTGTCTTCCAATCAATGAACATATGGCTGAATGCAGCTGCTCTGATTATGTTTGTTTCTACAACATGGTACAGATTTTGAATTCCATTGCTTTGTAGTCAACCACTAAAAAACCCGTAAAATCAGTCATCGGCTCTGGATCTCCTACAGGACTAATGAATAAAACAAACAGAACTCTCCAGGCCAAGGCAAATCTGAGGAATATTTTTGCATAAAATGAGCTAAAAGGCATTTAAACCATGGGTAAAGGTTTCTCCCTTTCTCCTCCTTGCCAGGTACTAATTTCAGAAGTACTAACTCAGTTAACCTCAAACTTCCCCTCCTTGTCTTCCTCAATTACACACTGAGGAATTAAAAGTAGCCAAGTCAGAAAAATATTAATGTTGCTGTTCTTCTTTTTGTGTTACTGCTGTATTTAGAAGCCCAAGCTAGGAAATTTGGGCCACATGTGCTAACATGTGCTGGCACTATAGGGAACTAAGCTTTACCAATATTTTTCGAATATTGTTTGATGGATTCTTTTTTGTTTGTTTAGGTTTTTTGGTTTGTTTAGTTCCGGTTTTTTGTTTGTTTGTTTTCATGTGGGATAGCAAGCAATTAAAAAAGTTTTCAATCAATGTTAACCTGAAATGAGAACTTTACAATTTTCTCAGAGGAGAAAAGGGAGGTCTGAGTATATTTTAAAATTGAATTAAGTTTTCTTAATATTTTCTAAACACAAGGCATTATTTTCTTCTCTCTAGATAACATTTCTTTGAAGCCCTTCCAGGACCAGTCACTTATTCTGATCCACAGAGTGAGACTATGCTCTTCTTTCTATTCCTTCTTCAGGAAAAGCAGGATCTTTGGGAAGCTGGTGGCTGTTGGGACCCCAGGGCAGGCAGCAGCAGGAAGCATGGGCAGGCCTTTTCCACACATGAGGCAGTGCATCCCTCAAATTTGGCTCACTCTCTCTTCCTCCAGCCTGACTCACTTTTCATCAGAGCTGTTGGCTCCCACTGGACCTGTTGACTGAGTGCTGATACACAGACCAGAGGGATGAAGAGGAGGGCTGGCTGCCGCTGACAAGCTGCTTTGGAGAGTGGGAAATTTAGGTGTTCTGTGATCTTTAGTGATGAAACATCATCATTGCTCAATACTCAGTGCCTGGTCCTGAATCTGACACACTGGCACAAAGATGTTACATGTTAAATATGGCTAATGAATTACTGCAGGCTCTGAAATCCCCTCCCAGCTCCAGGACAGCCCCCCAGACAACAGGATTTTCCTGACCTGCTCATTGCAGGAGTGAGACAAGCCAGAGAACAAGGTGAGAAACTCTCACACAGCAGAAAAAGGCCAGTTCTTCCTCTCTGCATTCTCACTCCCTTCACCTGTGCCTTGCCTTCCTCCTTCCTTCCCTTCTGCAATTGCAAATCTTTGGAGGCGTAACCCTGCACCCATCTTTCCTGGCTACTCCATTCTCCACAGCTTCCCCTGCAGAGGGACACAGGTGTGGGAGACACATAAAACAGGATGATCCTCAGCTGCACTGCCACCAGGGAAGAAAGTGGTTTATTTGTATTAGTACAGACTAATACACTTCACAAGAGTGAAGGGCACTATTTGTGCATGCAGTTCCTCTCATCCCTAGGTGAGGAGCTGGCAAGGGCCTGTAATACAGCTCTGGCTGCAGCAGCATGGATACTGACAGGCTGCAGAGGAGCTTGCTGACAAGCCGTGAAAAGACAAAAAGGTCTTTGCCTCAAATAAGACCCTGGCTGGACAAAAGCATGAGCTGGCCATGTAGGTTCCTGTAACATAACATTACTGACCTGTAGTGAGGTGAATGGGTGAAGTGACAGTGGAGCTGGCCTGTAAAATTCTGAAGTGCATTTTTTTCTGGACTCTCCTAAGGGAGTACAACATGTTTATTCTGCTCCCTGTGTGCTATTATCTGTTCTTTGTGCTGGGACTCAGTAATTTCCTCCTTGCCTCTATTCCCATTGTGTCCAGAGCCTGACTATTTTTGCATGAAGTGCTAAAGGATCTTGGTTGCGATGACTGTGAAAGGTGAGTGGCACAGCCCATGTGCCAGCACTCATTTCCTGATGGAAATAAAGTGTGGCTACAGTGGGTGTGTGTACCCAGCTGAACTGGGGACAACGTTGTGGGTGCTTGGCGTGGTTAACTCAAGCTTATAGGGGGGAATACCTACTAAAAACCCTATGGACACAGCCTTAGATGACAATTAGCTTTGCACTGCCAGCTCTGTCTTTTAAATTGTGCATGTACTTTTTTTTTACTTCTGGAAATCTAAAGCAGACACGAGACAAAGAAAATAGCAAAAAAAATAAAACCCAAAAACAACAAAACTCTCGGTTTCAGAACAGCTTGAATCTATGAGGTGTAAAGTTCTTGATAAATGGGAAGAAATGAACACACTAGAGACTGTGAAGAAAGAAATAGTGGTTTATGCTGTGATGGTGCATATAATGGCAATCACTCCTAAAAAATATACAGGCAAAAAAATAATGAATTCTAAACACGTCCTAGTAAGATTTCTGGAGAAGTACTGGTATCTGTGTAGATACTACCACTACCACTTTTAGCACTGAGATATTGGCCCTCAGTGGTCTTTATTTTATCCCCACACAAAAAATATGTGCCAAATTTGTGAGCTTCTGTTCTCACCACAGCATCTTAGCCTCAGCCCCTGCAATGAGAGGCTTGCAGGCTGACCCTCACTGTCAGATGATGATCTACAGACATAGGGGTTTGGTTATTTCTTAATTCATGCTATAAGTTTGGGGTTTGCAAGTAAATATACATTAAACAGCAGCATCATTATTTTTAACTTGTTTGTTTCTTAGCCTGGAGAAACAGAAATTTCTGGGTGGGATTTTTAAGTATTCCAAGTTGGCATCATCTATCCTTGAAATGAATGCTGAAATGCCTAGTGACTTCAAGGAGGGAGAGATAGGTCTGTCTCCTGATTCCCTTTGAAATCTCATTTCTGAATGCTGAAATAACCAAACATTTCTGAAGATTATTCACTAGTATATCAATGACCATAGGTGTGAACACATTTCAGATGCAGACAGGTAGGCCAAGTTTAAGTCTAGATTGAATCAGTCTTTGATGGATTCTTGATATCAAGTAATTGACTTTTAATAAAATGACAAATATTAACATGAATATTTATTTACAGAATATAGTTGTTACTTTTTCTTGTAATTCACTGGACTCCATCATTATTGGTTCAGCTCTCATAGTCACTGGTGCTGTACAAAGAGATAGGCTTGTATTGGATGCTGTGTAGTCCAAGGTACAGAACTTGCAGAAATTTTTTCATGTGCTAAAATTTGCATACTGAAAGTGGCCTGTGTGAGTACCATTTAAACTATAAAAGACAGATGCTTGCCAATTTCTGCAGGATCAGTGCATTCAGCATTTACAAACAGTATTCCTTTTCTACTGGCTGTTGTGCAGTTAGAAATAACACAAGATTTCAACAAACACACTTTAACATGTCCTTGTCACTGGTTACACTGATAAATGTTCCAGCTGTGTGAAGCGAGGAGGTAATTTCATGCAGCCTAAAGTACAGTCAGCATGAGTAGGGGATAAAGTGTCACTCCTAATAGTGGGCAAACAGCAGTTGTTCATGTAAAGCTTATGTTTGACTAAGCATCTAAAAGGTCAAACATATCTTCAAACTTACTGTCCCCTGAAGCTGTTATGCCTGTTGACAGGAGATAAAATGAATTAATTAAGTATACTATGAATAAAAAAGGTGCCAAAATGTCATAGAAAAGCTGAAAAAACCTGTGAAAAACACATAACAAGAAAATTGCAGGTATAAGTACTGCCAGTTTTCTTGTTATATGTTTGACCATCTTTAAATTCAATGACATATTTAAAATAATTATTTTTACTGCCTAATTTTTCAACCAACCCCGTGCACTGCTACCTAAGAGTACACGAGAGAAGTCTGTCACTTGTTTCTAAAGCAATTAGCAGGCCTTCAACATCAGAGAGCTCTGGGGAATGAAGAGAACTCTTGGTTTGTTTAGAAGATTTACTTCGTACCAAGACATTCAAAAAATGAACAGCAGCAGTAATTTATGAACTCTTTCTTTCTTTTTTCATTTTTTTTTTTTTTCTCCTAGCAAACAGGATTACTTAGGATCCATGTGCCTTGTGTAAGGCTCCCGCGTAACCTCTTGAAGATATGTTCCCCTATGGCATGATAACAAATGAAATATTAAATATGATTTTCTTAAAAAAAATACCCACTTTGGGAAATTCTTTCTTTTGCTTTTTTTTTTTTTTTAAATATGTATATTCAGGGGCCTTTAAATATAATTTACTGTTTTTTAGAGTGGGGTTTTTGGGGAGTGCTGAGCTTGTCTGCACTGTAATGAAAAGGGACAGTCAGCAGATGGCAATGTTGTATAGTTATCCCAACAGGAGACAGCCACATCAGCAAGGGAGGGAAACCTCTTAAGTAGCCATAAGGGAAAATGGAATGGCCCTGCAGGCCTTTGGAGACTTGGCCCTTCAAGCATACTTCGTCTGAATCCTTGTGTAGTCTTTCTATGTTTGTAATAAAATTTGTAACAATTCAACATTAAAACCCCCTCATTTGAAAGGGAAAGCCCAGTATAATCTAAGAGCTTTCTAATTAAACTAGTTCATTGCCATATTCTTTTAAAAACATTTCATAACGCTGTATAACTACAACACGTTCTTTGCCGCAGAGGTTTTATTTTTAAATAGATAAGCGTGTCTGATGCATTTTCTTTTGCTGGAATGTTAACAGATCCATTTAACTGCCTTTTCATGCTCAAACTAGGAGTCAACTCATCAAACATATTTCTCCAATGCCAATTAAAAGTTCTCTCCATAGAACCCAATGTGGTTCAAGCATACGGCAAGCTAATTTATACATGAGTTACCTTCACTAGCTCTAATCCCAAATAACTGGAAATCTTCTCCTTGGCTCCAGCAAGTTCCAGATTAGGCCTGCTGTGCTTTGCCCTCTAGAAAGTGGAAAGGTATGGGATGTAATTCCTTTTTTTTTTTTTTTCCTTTTCCTAAACTACCATGGAGAGCTATTAGAGTATTTTGATCTAAATATGTAAATCAAAACTGCAAAAGCTTCCTCCTTCCAACTGTACTGAAGGCACTGGAAGGAGGTAAAAGCCTGTGGTAGGTAATTCTGACATATAAAATTCATGGAACAGCTCAGCAAGAGGAGCTTGGAAAGACTTCTGTAAAACATAGGAACTAACAGATGTCTTGAGAGAAGTGAGTAATAGCTTGTATAAAACAATTTTTAGTTCTGCTGCACACTCCGAAGTCTGAAGCTCTGTGTTAGTAGCCAAAAATGCAGGCATCATTTCAGATAAAGTTGAAATGTGAAGCACAAAGCTCATTGCATTCAGAGCTTTGTCTAACAGCTTGGTCTAAAATCCAGAAATGGTCATGGATGCTGAAAGACAAAATCAAGTCATTTGTAGCATAGTACTGGCTGCAGCAAAAAAAGATGCTATGAACACCCTTCCTCGTTTACATGGTAAGACCTGGTTTCACTGTCTGCTCAGTTTCCCTCAAGGTAAAAAATCTGGCAAGAGGAGAGGCTCTTAGACTCAAAGAGGTATGTAACTTGAGATGTAGTGCTAAATTAAAACTCCTGTCACACAGAGACTACTTACTATGATTTATGTCAAGGTTAATGGAGTAAAAAGTATTGGAGTATTTGAAATGCTGATCAGACATGTTGCCAATTAGCTGCTGCAGATTTTTTGTTATATATTAATAATAAAGGTATTTCAATGTTTCTCTCAATTTTTGTCTTTTTTACAGGAAGTTCAAGGAACTAGCACAGAAATTTTAAATAAACTGAAAATCACTCAGGAAAATCAAAGGTCGGTACGAAATGTTAAAATATCTATGTCAGTGTGGTTGCACAGAAAGTGTTAGAGTGTTGGAAATGCCAGTCATAACAGCTTTGGGCCAAAGTAAGACAAATTAGTTACTGATAGCAGATGCATTCAAGTGTTCATTGCAGAACATACACAGTAGCAGCTGGGAGTCGTAATAAGATATTATAGATTTGACTTCAGTGTGGCTCAGAGTATTAAATAATAGAACTTACGCATAGAGTTTAATTAAAAATTCTGATTGCTTCAGTTTTTTATTAACAGAATCAGAATACTCAAAGCTGGAAGGGACCCAGAAGGATCATCAAAGTCCATCTCTTGGCCCTGCACAGGAAAGCCCCAAGAATGATGCCATCTGCCTGAGAGCTTTGTTCAGACACTTCTTCAACTCTGTCGGGCTTGGTGGCATGACCATACAGATACAGAACAGACACATTGTGGTACTTAAAGACTTAGAAGTTTTCTGAAAGCATCCTGCTGATGTTTTTTTTTACACCTGAAATGGACAAGTTCAAGCCCTAGTCTCTTCTGACACTGCTCTCTAGTGACTGTTTTGGCAATTTCTCTGTGCAGTGCAATTTCCTTTATATTGGTAACAAGCTTGAGATTCCTAAACTTTTTTGATGTAAGCACTTCTTTATTTGAAAGGGGTGCATTATTGGGTCGTCTCAAGCATTTGAAGTGACATATTTTAAGAAGTTAGATCATGCATGTTTGGTTATTGATGCTGCCTGTCACAAGTAAGTATTGAATATAATTGTTTCTGTGGTGCTTTCAGCATTTTGTTTTAGAACAAGACTCTTCATTTCTGCCATGTTTTTACTCTTCCAAAGCTCTGTATATTCCAAAGCTTTGGATGAGGAGCCATCCAACCTAAAGCATGGTGGAAGAGAGGCTATCCCTACTTACTTATCCACTATCAAGTTCATGAAAAGCACATACATGAAACACAGGTGAGTGTTTCACCATATTTAACATAGCTTCAGATTGGTGGTTGCGAGTTTGTAGTGCTGCTTAGAGGTTTGTTTTTTCTACCTGAAGTACAATTTTACAGAAACTGAGTCAATGTCAGCCAGAACCAAAGCTTTGTATGAGATGAAAAATATATCTATAAAAAATTTGAAAAGTCTAGTTTGTTGTCCCATGAACGTTTTTGTACCTATAATTTATCAGTGTAAGAAATCACTGCATCCAGGCAAATCAGGTAGTGGCAGGCTGCAGTAAATTTAATTCCTTAGTTTGCTGCATGCCTCATTTGCTAGTTTAGTAATTTAATTCCTTAGTTTGGTGCATGCCTCATAGTTAGTTAAATCATTTGTTAGCAAATGATTTAATCTATCAGTTGGAGGTGGACATCTTAAGTTAGTTGAAGACCTGAGGACATGCTGAAAGGCTCACTGACCTGAGTGCGTTTTGGGTCAGCCTTTCAGGGTTTCAAACATTACATTATGGAGTTGTTGCCTTTTGTTACAACACAAAAATCAGAGAAAGATTTCTCAGATTTAGATTTGCAGGTGGTGTTTTGTGCCATAGGGACCCCAAACTGTTGCTGCAGGTTCCTGTTGTGTCTGTGACCTATATACTCCCATGCACAATTATGACATTGTTGGTAAGAATCCAAAATTATAGTTACAAACTCCAAAGAATAAGGTCCATTAATATAGAAAATAATAACTCTATTTTCATCTTACTGCCAACATTTGGTGTCAAAGGGGATGTTATATTTTCTGACACTCACAGAAATTTTTACTTTTAAATTTTATTAGAGAAGTAAGATAATTCCTTTTCAAAGAAGCTATGAATATTAGCAAGAAGAGTCCTGAACTCAGATATTATGAAATATAAACATTTTCAATTAAAATATTTTTTCAAACTTCAAATAGAAAATAAATAATTCTATTAGTCTATGAAATCGTAAAATTAAGGCTATGCTTCTGTTAATTTTCTGTCTCTGGCTCTTGATTGAGAATTGTGATAGGTTTCATAAGGTGATATGTACAGCTGTGGTGCTCTTGTGTTGTTGAAGGGTGGCAATACAAATAGCTCTCAATTCAGGAGCTGCTACCTAAAAATCTAAGACCACTAACACACAATAATTTTGTGAACATGCAAAGTAACCACTTTATGGTATGAAGTTAATGTATATCATGTTGTTGTGATTTCTTGGATGGATGCATTCATTAGGCTTAATGAGGGGGTGGGGAGGAATTGAGGAAGAAAAACAGTAAAGCAAGGCATGAAATCTAAATGAGCAGTCTCCCCACCAACAGCAGGGAGAGGAGTTATGAGAAAATTATTTGTATTTCACTTCCTGCTTAAATTTGCAAGGATTTCTTTGCCAGAGCAGCATACTAGTAGATCTAGGAAGTTGAAGATGATTACAAAATTATGGGCAAAATAAATAAACATTTTGGTTACTGATAGTTACATTCCCTTTAGGAACTTCAGTGTAGCTGAGGTGTTAGAGATGATATAAAGCACCTGTATGAATAGAAGAGTTCTTTTCTCTTTCCCTTCAAAAAGTATGGATGAATTATGATCTAAGAACATGAGAGACAGAAAAGGTACAAACAAGGTTATAAGGCATGGTCACACTTGAATCTGCTTATAAATTGGAGAACCGTGCATTAATCTACTTTCTGATATTTCTTTGATTTTGAATTGAGGATTGAGTGATCTGCAGGCCGGGTATGGGACTTGGTGGGTAAATGTCAATGTCATTTGGCAGACAAAACTTGGACAAAACCAAAACTCAGTTCTTTCTGAGAGGATAATAGGATATATTTTGTTAAAAATTAAAATTTGAGAACATTATAAATGTGAAATAATTGGTCAGCCAAAAGGCTATTAGAAATAAAACATAAAGGTAATTACTAGTAGATATAGCAGAATACAAGGTTAATTAGTCTCATTTGTATGATGTTAATAATTGAATGTAATCAGCCCTGGGATACTTACAGAAGCGCTCTCACTAAATGTTTTAAAAAATGTAACAGAAGGATTTTTACATTTTGCTTCAAGCAGAGCTTATGTATAAACCTTTTAAAGTACCACACTGTCTTGGGATTTTTGCATAATAAAATGCTTTTTAAAAAGAATGTCCAAAATTCTACTCTCCTTCACAATGTTAGGAATCACATTTCTAGAGCTGACATTATTCTCTTTCTCCAGGATAGATCAAGAAGACTGAAACATTAATGGTAGCATGAGATTTCTGAATCAAGATCTGTCTTGAGGCATACTTAATGGCAAGCATCTAATTATCTGAAGTCAAAACTGTATCATCCTTTGCCTTTAATGCACATAAGATAACATAGATGAAATTTAATTAGAGGCATGGATTAATAATTTTTTAATATCTTCAGTAGGAGCTTTCCGCAGATGCTAAGAGATTCTCTGGTGAATTGGGCAAATATTTAGCCTGTCTGTAGCCAGATAAACAATTTTCAGCAAACAATTCACTTAGCCAATTTCTTACTGTTTCTGCTGTAAGACTATGATTTCTTCAGGCTTAACAGTTATCTTTGAATTTTTTTTTTATTTTAATTCTCATTTGAGAAATTAAAACTGTTTGAAATTCAAAATTTTGAAAACATTATTTTTTACCTTTAAATGGATGAAGTCATGATATGATTTTATTTGTTTTCCTGGTTAGAAGGTTGTATCCACAGGTCTAGTGGAAGCAGTAAAATCTATTTTGGACTTAGCTTTCCATTCTAATTTGGATAGGTCAGCTGTCTCACTACTTTGTAGAAACGTTTGTTGTCAGGTCTTGGCAGCTCTATTTGATCCATGCCTAAGTCATTGTAGGAAAGGAAGGCAACAGGAAAGCAAGTTATGCTGTGGAAATTATGATGTTCACACTCTGCATTATAAAACTTTATAGGACAGTGCCACAGATGTAAACCATTTTTACTTTCAGTACAGAGCATCAGATCTAGAGAAGGTCTCGTATAAAAAGGTGTAGTGGGGATGTTTTCTAGAGCTGCTGCATTGAGGCGGGTAGCTTTTTGCCCAGATCAATTCCAACAAATTTCAGTTATCTAGCAAGATGCGAGGGAATATGAACCATCCCCTGAAGATTAATCTCTCTCTTTACAAGCAACTTTGAGTGCCTGAAATTAGATGAGCTGGTCTTAGTTCCTTTTCTATGGCTCATAGTGGGAAGACCCCTGGGTGCTGCCTGTGTTTACGTTGGAATGTTGATTGTCACAGGCTTAGATCTCAGTTTCTGGTCTGTTCTTTTGTTGGTTGTATGCTTTATTTCCTTTTAGAAAGATGTGGGACCTAGTAGGGGGAGTTTTGTTACCTGAAAAGGAAAAATGGATTTCTGAGAGTCTAGAAGAAAATAAGTAAAGAAAGATAAATACTCACAACTTCAAACATACTCCTAATTTTTTGAGGGTGTGCCAATGGAATACAGGCTTGAAAAACTGCTGTTAAACCCCAGAATAACATATTACAACAAAATGTCAAAATCAGAAATGGGTTTTCATTTTTGCATACGCTATTGAGGATAGCTATACTGTCTGCATAAAGAGATATTATCATATAGCATTTTTAGAAGATGTCTAGTGCTATTAATCATTATATTAAACAGCTGTGTTATTCTGTACAGTTTTATGTACAGTTGTATGTACAGTTTTCAGTAGGCACTGCCCTCTTTCCGTCATGGGTCCTTTCCATATGGGAACACCAGCTGATCTCAGGACAGAACTCCCCTGTGGAAGTTATTTAAGTATATCAAAGCTGCATCTTCTAAATACAATCTAGATACTAGTCCTGGACCATGCCTCTAACTACGGTGGTACATACTGGAATATGAATGCTGCTTATGTGCGTCTTTTCATTGCCCCCAGATTTTGACTTTAATTTTATGAAATCTTACTGTGGCTGAAGTTGTTTTTTTTTAAAGCATAAGACGGGTTCAAGTGAAGTGGAAGCATCTGCTTGATTTTGCAGAAAGTCTGAAAAACATGGAAAGAAGTAGCCCTTTTAACTGGAAGGGGTGTTGTTTAATGCCTGTACTTAAACCTCTGGTATAAAGAATGGTTGTTTATGAAAGAATGGGAAGGAAAAATAGGAAGAAAACAGATCAGGCCAACTACATAGCATTATCCATGCTAAAGGAACATCTTTTTTCCCATACACAATCAACCTGTGAAAAAATGGACTTTTTTTTTTATTTAATAAGTAATCAAATGGAAAGGGGACATGGAAATAGTCACACTTTGTAGCAAACAAGACAAACCCGGAGATGTCAATGTATTAAATGGATATATTTGCATTAACTGGAGGAACATTCGTTCCAAGAGACTCGTAGCTTGTGCATCCTAGTTTAAACAAAATGTATAGTCTATTGCTGGAAACTGTTAACTGGAACTGCTGAAAACACTTATTAAAAAAACCGAAAACAAACAAAAACAACCCAAACAAACAAAAAGCCATATGACAAACAAAAAATATCAAACCCACCATTTCCAAACAGATAAAATGCCTAACCCAAAACAGCAACCCAGGGGTTGGTCTTTAAATTGCTTGAAGTTATTTCTTATTTGCTTAGTGGTTTGTTTTTGTTCTGTTTTGTTTTTTTGTTTTTTTTGGTTGGTTAGGGTAGGGTTTTTTGCTTGGTATTGCTTTATTTTTTTTGTTTTCATTTGTTGGGTTTCTCTGTTTAATTTTTTGTTTGGTTTGTTTTTGTTTTTTTTAGTTGTATATTTTTTTGTTTGATCAAGTTTCATGCAAAGGTTGTCACTGTAGCAGATGACACTGTAAGATCTAGTTGAAGTTACATCATGGAGCTGAGTTCTTAGGGTTTTGCCTTGTTTTGGATTCAGGTCCATAAAAATTTGTAGCCTCTAAAAGTAAAATATCCTTAGTTGTCTTCCTCTACCTTCTTTTTGGCTCAAGCCACTGTCTGACACACAGCCTGAATTGTGCAGTGGTACCTGTGGTGTCTCAGCACTGATATGTGTCACTTACGCTGAACTCCCACTGGATCTGCCACTGAGGCGCTGCTGTCCCTACCCTGCACACAAACATCTCAGATCATTAAATATTTTTATTTTATCTCTTAAAATATTTTTAAAATTTTATTTCAGACCTGTGGGCCCTTTATCCTGACTTCTAAGGAAGAGTAAAAGAACAGGGATTATTAGGAGAATTAACACTACCTCCTAAATTCTAGTGAATGACTTTTTCTTTGGATCTGCCATCCGTGCAACTAGAGAGAATTTAAACAAGTCATTATGAAAAAGGAAGAGAGAAAGACAGTAATATCATCTTCATGAGTTGCTGTCCAAGATAGCATTTGTCTGTGGAAATCTGCTATATAATGACATTTTTAGAAAGAAGTGAGAAGGATAGGATTTTTTATGGGTAACAAAGGCAGTCAGAGTTATAACAGTTATGGCTGAAAACAGGAAAAGACTTAAAAGTAAGACAGAATTCCTCAGTAATATCTAATATGTGAAGTAGGAAGGGAACACCCTATAGCAAGATATGGTGCTGCTTGCTGCTGGAGATAGCACTCCATAGAAAATACTTTCTGAATTTGGGCCCATGGTGTCAGTTCCCATGTCTGGTTTAGAGATGGAAAACAGAGAGCTAGTGCAATTTGTGATTGCCCTGGAAAGTATTTTGTGAAGGTAATTTAAAATATATGTATGAAGTTTTAAATTTTTTTAAGCATTTTTGGGTCATTTCAGTAATGTCAGGGCAGAAGAAAGAAAGTGATTTGAACTTTTCAAGGACAATATATGCATTCACTTCACAATATAAAAGTCACTACCTGAGTCTGATCTACACTTATGTACAAGTACTGATTAGTATTCTGTGAACACAAATACGTGTTTTGAATGTACTAATTATTATAGCATATTTTTAATAATTCTCCTCTTGTAACCCTCAATTTATCTTTATTGCATTTATGAAATAAATGTATGAGCTCCCAGAAGATGAATGTAATATTATTTTGTGCTCACCTCTCATCAGAGACTTTGCCAGAAGTTTATAAACATCAATTAACTTTCACCATGCTGCCATCTGGGAAATAACTCTTCTTACACCCATGTTACAGATGGATAAACAAACAGGAGCTAAATAACTTGGCCCGGATCATGGCGCCAGTTGGGAATGGAGCTTTCACACCGTCTCCCAGTCCCTCACTCAGGTCTAACCAGTAAGCATGCTGCCACACAGTTTAGTTACATTTTGGACTGTTTTTAATGAACTAAGTTGCCCTTTTTTATCTTCTGAATCATCCAAAACTTGTCAACATTTTATTTTAATAAATAATACTCAGGCCAATATTTATAGTGAAATAATTTTATCCTCACCTTTGGTTCTAAGATTCATGTATGCTGCTAACACAGGATGATAGTAGACAAAGCACAAATAATTTTTGTGATTTCCTATAAAAAATCTTTCCACTGACAACAATGGCTTTTGGGTCAGTTACTCATATTCATATAATAAATTGATCTCTTCAATTCCTCAGTTAACTTATTTTTTCCTTGCACAGAATCCTTTCATTTTTCTAATGTTCTTATAAATGTTTCTGATGTTTGGTTGATAAGGCATGCCCAAGGGATGAGGAGAGGGTTTTGTTTTTTTTCTGTAGTGTATTCTTCTTGCATTGTTGGTAACCCCTTTAAACCTAATAGTGATATATCTAATTGTGGGCGGAAATACAAAGCTTCTAGTTATTAAAATTGTTCTCTTCCCATTTCAGCTCTAGGTAATTAAAACTTTTGGATAGGAGTGGGATTTAAAGGTCATCTCAGTTCTCCCTTATGCGTGATATTATCTATAAAGGCATGAGGACCATTGCTACAGTGGCTCTACAACATTGTAGGATATACTTCCATGTGAAAAGTGGGTCATTACTGTTAGATTGCTGGATTTACTTTTTCTGGAGAGAAGGAGTTGCCAAAGAAAACTTTGTATGTTACTGTAGTGATAACTTCCAAATTTTAGGGACGTTCTCACAGAAGGAAGCCATCCTTTCTAACCTGTGAGATTTAGGAGTGTCAACTTTCTGATTTTGGCACTGAGATGGGTGATCATTTAAACAGATGTGTAGATACATGATGATACTTCTCTTTGTAATAAACATAATTATTATTTTAAGATTTTAAAATATTTTTAAAGATTACACCTCAGGAAGGTGGAATCCAGGGAGCAGTCAGGGAAGGGCTGGTGTTATCCTGAAGTGAGTAGTTCCTGTTATGTCTGTTCCCAAGTGAAATCCAATCATATGGTTCACACATTAATCCCAACAGGGTGACTTTAGAAAATATGATTAATGAGGTTACCTGTGTCTAGATAATACAGGTTAATAACATAAAGAAGATCTGCATAAGGATTTGGTTCTGCCCAGACAGGCATTTTGCTTCACAAGGGGCTAGAAGTCAGCCAAGCACATCAGCACTCATAGCTGACTGCTTGCCTTTTGGACAAGTGGTAATCACTTTTAATCATGCCCAAGGAACGATGTTCCCGGTTGAAACCAACATTTCGCAAGCAGATGTGAGCAGCCAGAGGGTGGGAAATCATAGGACATCTTTGAAGGAAGAAGTGATGGGAAGAAGATTTGCATGAGAAGATCTGAAGTGTTGAGGAGAAGCAGTAAGCAGAGAATCCCAAATCAAATACTCTTCTGTTTAAAAGTTTTGCATCCTCTGATTGTGCCAAGCAACTAGATGCTGGGACCTGATCTATGAATGGGTCTCACAGTGGGTTCCATGTGAACCTTTGGAACTGAGAGAAGTAAGAAGCTTTCTTTGCATATTTAATTTATTTATGTATTTATTTAGTAAAATATTTAACTTTCATCTATTTAACTTCTGACAGTAAATTAATCCCTTTACATTTACCTTAATTTTTATTCAGTTCAGTTCAATATCAGGATGCTGGCAAATGTCAAGATCACTTCTTTTGGGGAGGGAATTTCAAATCTGACTGTAGGAATTTTTAATTTTTAAATTTTTTTTTTTTACTGTCCAGTAAATTTATTGGTTTTCATTTCCAAAATGAATCTCAGCATCTTCCCAGCTGCATAGACTAGTTTGCAAGATGATGATAGAAATCTATGTGAAAGAAGCCTTTTGGCTAGTGGCATAAATTAGGAATAGAATAGTCTGATTCTCAAAAAAGTAGTTGGGTGTCACTCTATTAGGAACGGTGTGATTGAACGACACAGACTCTCATGGAGTCGATTAGGAGAATGTCTTGTAGTTTATTACTTCAGCTCTGTTTTATAGACTGATACGTGGAAAGTACAGAAAGGAAACTCTTATTGGTTAGTAAACTACATTACCACCATTGGTCAGTGGGGCACACACCCCCCCGACCTT